TCCCTCCCTCCCTCCGTGCGCCGGGCACTGCGCGCCGGAGTCTGCACCGGCACCTACTGCTCACTGAGTGTCGTCAGCTGCTCGCGATGGTGCGTCTCCCGGAGCACCTCAGACATGGGCAGATTGAAAAGGGGCGGGCGTAAAACCAACATGTTACCGAACCGCTAAAGTAATAGATGTTCTTGGATGAAATGGAGAACACTTTCACCGTTTTTCCTTTTTTTTTTTTTTCCTTTGGCCCGTATTTCCAAAAAGGAGGGGGAGGAGTGGGTGGAGGTATGGGGGTAGCGTCCTCAACAGCAAGGCATTTCCAAGTGGGAAACCGAACTGGTCTGTTCTCTACCCCCCTTCCCTTTTGGGGATGTTCCCCCTCCCACTTGAAAGCTGTCTACTCTAAGGGATGCGTAGGGATCTGTAGGGAAATCAACATTTGGTTCNCTTTTAGGTGGTGGAAGCGGAGATGCTTTCCACGGATTTGGGAAGCCATCCAGGTCCCGGTGGTAGGGGACCTAGAGTGGCAGAAATGTAGGTCTGTTTACAGGGAGTCTTGCCTGAGATCCCGCGGGGGCTTCCCTGCCTCCGTGGATATCTGCGGGGTCTGAGGTGGATGGAGGAAGGATGCTGCTGTATGGCGACCGGAGGCCGCTCGTGGCGATCACAGCGCCCTGCAGGGCATCCCATTCCTGGAGAATGGGCAGAGAAGGGGCACCATCCCTAATGAAACTTTGAGAGTCTTACTAAACTGTGTCTCCTGAGTATGAAGAGAAGTCTTTGCCTGATTATTTCCATTCACAGTCATGAATAGATGGCTCCTTGCAATGAACTCAATCTTGCCCAACTAGCTGGCATAGGGTCTGCATGGCTATTGTGAGGGACCTGTTGGCCATCTGCTACAAACAAACAGNTGAAACTTTGAGAGTCTTACTAAACTGTGTCTCCTGAGTATGAAGAGAAGTCTTTGCCTGATTATTTCCATTCACAGTCATGAATAGATGGCTCCTTGCAATGAACTCAATCTTGCCCAACTAGCTGGCATAGGGTCTGCATGGCTATTGTGAGGGACCTGTTGGCCATCTGCTACAAACAAACAGACAGACAACCCTCAAAGATGGCAGAAAAGCCCTCCTGGAAGTGAGTGTGGGCAAGTCTACCTTCTTGACAGTGACCCCCAAGTAGGTGACAGGGAGACTCAAAGGCAAATCTCCAGCTCCTCTCTGCGGATCGCCATCATTTGTGCCTCTCTGGAACTGAAAACAAGTGCACATTTTCTGTAGTGGTGTTCACTTTAATAAGAATGAACTGGATTGCCAAAGGTCCCAGGTTGGATCAACTTTGGGCAAGTAACTGGGTTGGTCTTTAGCATCCAAGCTGAAGATACTAACCAGTGGAATCATGGTCAAGTGATTGGTGGTACTTTTCAGGAAAAGTCCTATGAATAGAGGCATGAATCATTCCATTCGGCTCTGGTCATTCATCTCTGAGATGCATCATTTCATTGAAAGGAAGACAAACCTGAAATGTCCTAGAAGTCCCATGGTGTCTTCATAGCTAGAAGAGACATTAGAAAATCAAAACCTTAAATTTGCACTTGATGAAACTGAGGCAGAGAATCATCGGGCAATTAGCCAAGGTTGCACATCTTGTTGCTGGCACAGACGGGTTTTTGGCTGCCCCACACCAAAGTGGTCTTCTTTCTTTGCCCTTTTTGATGGCCGCCATCTCCATCACTCTTGCATCCTACCTAACTCTGGACTGGGCACTTGCCGATTTTATCCTGGCACCTCCGTGTTGCTGCGGAACACTTTAACAGAAAAACGATTCCACCATCAAGTGTTTTCACCTCTTGCCAAGACAATTATTCCTGACAGCAGGCCGACTGATTGAGCCATAAACTCTAAAGGGCTGGAGAGGAGGGCAGGCGAGGGTAGACACTGGCCAACCATTCAGCAAGTGATGTGAGTGCAAGCCACCCAATCCCCATGGCTGCTAGGAAGAATATCCTCCCAGTGCAGGAGGCTTGGCAAAGTGGTGATGGAGCCTGCCAAATGGGCAAGAAGAGGCCCCACTTGGATGTCACTTGATTTGCAGATCTGGTACAGAGAGGCAGAAAAGAGTTGAGTGTTGGCAAGAAAGAGAGAATAAAATTAAATTCACTGCATTTATATGTGAGTTTCCTTCTTCTAAGTATGCTACTCAAAACATAGAGGATGTGTTTAGGCTCTAATTAAGATATATATATTGCTTTTCACATTATTATCCTGCGGATCCTTTCATCTGGATGGTGTCTCTAAACCTTTCCCACCTCGAATGTGGCAAGTTTGCATCTTTTCTACAGTTTTAAACCCCTTGGCAGAACTGTATACATTAACAGATTGAAATGAGCTTTATTGAAATTTAGCTATTCTAAGTCATCTAAGTTGCAGAATCCCAATTTATTATGTATTTAAAGCATACCAGCACTGATTAAATCAATGCAAATTAGGTTAAATAAGAACAACATGAATCAAGTGTTTCAGCAAAGTTGAGTCGAGAAAGGACAACTTTTGAATCACCACAGCAAGCTGATATGGCTGTTTTTCACAAGTTTTAATTTCATGCTTTGTAGGGCTCAACACACCAAAGCAGAAAGAAAAAAAAAAAGAAAAGAAAAGAAAAGGAAAAGAAAAGAAAAGAAAAAAAAGAAAAGAAAAGAAAAGAAAAGAAAAGAAAAGAGAAAAGAAAAGAAAAGAAAAGACAAAAAAAGACTCACCTAAAGTTCTCTTTTTTGTCATGTTTGACCTTTCATAATTTTTTACCTGTCTTGTGAGAATATCTAATTCAGGTTATAATGTGACTCTTGTGTATACGTGATCAGTCTCTTCTTTTGAACTAACCACAGGTTTCTGTCCAAAAATGTCTCCTCTTCAGTGTTAGATGCTGATGAGAGATGCTTTATACGCTTGGAAACTACCCTTTCCATTTTTCATGTTTGATTGGGGAAGGAGCTTGAGCCGGTCTTTCTGAACCCCCATAGTAAACCCCAAGCCATCAGGCCAACATGTGATTGGGGACTGGGGTAAGAAAGGCTAGGAATCTTGAAAATGTGGATTCGGCAAATAGGAAGGAACTCGGGTACATGAAGCGTGAATCTGATTGCCAAAACATGATCTGGAACTTAAGAGGAGTTAGAAGAGCAAGCTTGGTGCAGCTGGAGAGGGCAGACTTTTAGCTTGGGGGAGAATGGTGATTAATTCCTCCACGTCTAAAACTTATAAAGTAACCGCTGCATAATAAACTCTCCTGCTTTTTCTTGGTACGTCATATTGGGGTGAGGGCAGGGGGGTGTGGTCACATACACTTTTTTTGGATATGTCTTACCTTTCCCATTTTATCTCAACTGAAGGCCACCTCCAATTGGCTCATTTTAGTCAGAATAATTTGTGAACTAAGAGGTGCTAGTGAAGAAAGTCTGAAATGAGTGTGCATTCTGGAGCTGGGCTTTCCATTACTAGTCTTGCCAAGTGTTTAAGGCAAGAGAAATTCAAGTGCTGATTTTGATGCTCGATCATCGCTTGCACCAGCATAGACCTTGATCTCTATGCTGCTATCTTTATTTTTCAGTGGAAGTGAACCATGGATTTTCCTTAAAAGCAAACATTTAGAGGAAGGGGAGGAGGATGGGAGTCATAATTTCAGAAGGAGAGAATGAACTATTGTTTCTGTGGGCACACAGAAGGAAGTGTAGAGCCCTGTGTGTGCAAGCTTTGGCATCTTTGGGCTTACGTTACTCCTCAGTTTCCTTATCACTGCCAATTTGTATATATTTCTCATGGACATTTAAGTTTTCCCATTTTATTATAGAAAAATTAAAAATGAAAGAAGAAAAAAAAACAGGAAAAAAATTTAAATGCAGATTAATCACCTAAAATCCAACCATCCAGAGAAAAAGTATTTTAGAATTTATCTATTTCACATATACTCATATTTTCTAAAAATCTGATAACATTATACATATTACTTTAAACTATTTTTTTCTCTGTTGAATTCTTCCATATCAAAAATACAAGTTGATAGGATCACCTTCAATGGCCATAAACCG